GGGCGGGGGGCGGCCAGAGCGCCGGGGGGAGGGCGGCGAGCCCGGCTGTGGCCCCGCGCTCCCCGGCGGCCGGAGCGCCGCGCCGCCCCCCTCCAGGTGCCGCCCCAAGCACCAGCTTGGGTGCTTGGTGCCTGGAGCCGGCCCTGCTTCTGGTGCATATTTGTTGCCTTAGATCAGCAGGCCCTGACCTCCTTTCGAGCCTAAGTGCACCCTGTACACAGGGCTGGCTACTCAGCTCTAGCCAGCAGCCCGGCTCTGGTGTGTCTGTCAGGAGCTCGGCTAGAGCCGGGATTGGCTGCCGCTGGTGGGTGTGCCCCAGAGGAAGGCGTGGAGCTCCGGGCCTGTGTAGGCAGCGCACGGTGGCCTGGAGCCGGAAGCAGCGCTGATGAGTTGTGTCAGGCGCTTGCCTGTGTGTTTGGCAGGAGGTGGTGTGAGCCCCGCTTGGTGGCTAGGTAAGAGGAGAGTGCAGAGCGGTGCGTGCGGGGCCCGTTCCCAGGCCACCGTCCGAGATGATTTGGGGAAGGGGCACTGTCACCACTTGTGTGCTCGTAGCACTGGCCTCGGCTGTAGTTACGATCTTCTGGCTGCAGTATGATAAAGGTATAAGCCCTCTCCACTGGGTCTCTCGCCAGTAGGGAATGGGGGACCCGCAGCTTTGTGTGGGCGGCAGCTGCCGCCAGCCTAAGCGAATGGCGGAAGCTTTCTCAGCTCGCCACAGGCCAGACAGGTGTGTTGCTGGCTTTCTGAAAACGGCTGGACAAAGCAAACTGTCCTGTACCCAAGCAGGGTCTCTACTCATCAAACAAACTGCCTGTTGGTTTGGGTTGCCTGGAGTTGATGCTCTGCACCCCACCCTCCGGACTCCCCTGCGGGGTTTTACAGGCGCGACGCGGAGGATTAGAAAGAAAAGCGTGGGTGGGTATTTTCCCAGAGCAGTGCCACGGAAAGCATTGGAAGAAGGGGCTCAGGAAGCGGGCTGTGCTTCCTGCTGTGAGACACAGGGCCTTAGCTGAGAACAGCAATGAGTTGTAATTTGATTTCAGTCGTGTCTTATGTCTACAGCGGTCTGTACAAATATTAGCTAATGTTTAAGCCCAACCTATGCATTGTGCCTTCATCGTTTTATATAAAACCTAGTATACATGGAAATGTGTGTAATGAATATAAACTGTTCTTTAGTCAATTGGATGGAGGCTTTCCCTTGCCATGTTCGCAATCCAGGGCTTCAACGTGAAACTCACTAGCGTCCAAATAGGGGTGAGATGTAAATAGCAGGAAACGTTATATGGGGGGAGCTATACCTGAAAGCTTTATTTTTTGGAGCTGGTGTTTGGTAAGAAGATATTATTATTGAAGAGGTGATTCGGTTGCTCAGGGCAGGGGCTGTCTCTTAACAAGGGGGTCCACATCACATGGACCAGTTTTCAGCATAGGGGCCTCGGTATTTGCCTATCGCCTAACACAATGACCTCCCCAAGTGCGTCTGGACTAAAAATAATGCACCCAGGAGCAAAACTTCCACACCTGCCTTTTACCGTGATGGTGATGGACAAAACTAGCGAGTTCCCCGGGAGCATGACGCACGGGGAGGGGGATGTTTGCCAGGAGCTGCAGAGAGCAGGGCTGAGGGCCAGCCACCGGGGCGGGTTGGTTGTTTAAGGAACCAGCCGCAGCCTGACTCGAGCGGCAGGTGCTGTCTGTGTGTCACCGCTGCATTGCCCGGGCCTGGCCCGGCTGAGCGAGCGCGTAGCTCCGGCGCTGCGACCAGGGGCGCGTGTCCCGCTCCCAGCAGCCGCGGGCCGGCCCGGCTGAGCCCCAGCGTGCGGGGTGAGGTAGCGCGCAGTGCGCGGTGACGCCGGGCGGGGGGGTCTGGGCGCGGAGCTGCCTGCGGCTCCGTGTGTGTGTGAGGGGGGAGGGCAGCGTGCGGGGCTCCGGCCGCGGCGGGCGGGGGCGCCGTGTGATGAGCAGCGAGCGGGGCCTAGCAGCCCAGCCAGCGTCCTGCCGGGGCCGGGGGAGCGGCCGCGCCCGGGTGACTGGTTGAGCGGGCGGCGCCCTGCGCCTGCGGGGCCGCGGCTCCGTCTGCGGGGGGGGGTCCAGACCGGGCGGCGGCCGGAAAGTTTGTTTGTGCGGGGGGCGGCCCGGGCTGGGATGTGGGGCCCGGCGTTCGCTTCTCCGCCACTTGCCGCTGCGCCGCCGGGGCTGTAGGCGAGGCCGGGCGGGCGCTAACCCCCCCCCCCCCCCCGGTGCGCGGCCATTGCAGCGCCGGCCGGCCGGCCGAGGATGATCACCAACACGCGGGGCTTCCTGTGGTCCGACCTGGAGACGCGGGCGCTGCTGGAGATCTGGGGCGAGGCCGACGTGCAGTCGGCGCTGGACGGGAACTTTCGGAACAGCCATGTGTACCGGGACGTGGCCTGCCGCCTGGCCGAGCTGGGCTTCGAGCGCACCCCGGAGCAGTGCCGCATCCGCATCAAGGGCCTCAAGCGCCAGTACTACCAGGCCCGGGACGGGCTGAAGAAGAACGGGCACGCCCGCAAGATTTGCAAGTACTACGACGAGATGGACCGGATCCTCAGCTGCCGGGGCGGGCCGGACAGCGCGCCCGAGCCGCTGGCCCAGCCCGCCGACAGCGCCCAGCCCGTCGCCGGGCCGCCCACGCCGGGCACCCCCCACAACAGCCGCGAGCCCGACACCGAGCTGGACGAGGACGCCGAGCTCGAGTCCCCCCACGACCACTTCACCGAGGACTCGGGCGAGTGCTCGTCCTACGCCGAGCACCCCATCAAGGTGGAGTGCCCCCCGTTCGCCATCCCCGTGCCGCCCGCCGAGGGTGAGTACCAGCAGCCGGGCCGGGGAGCCCCACCCCGTATACACGCCGGTAGGGGAATCCCTCCCCCCGTATTCGCCCCCATATCGTCTGTACCCCCCATACAATAGAAGTACTAGCGCCTCTAACTAACGTGCTTCCAATCGCTTCTGCACTAGCCTCTTCCCTTCCAGACCTCTCTCATCCTCTTCAAGGGGAACTGGATTAAAACGCCTTTAGTCTCTTTAACCCCTTCCCCCCACTATGGAGTCCTATCTCCTCCATTTAATTTCTCTTCTTCTCCTTTTTGCTTTTCTCCTTCCCTATCCCAGTGTTTCGTCCCTTTGACTCTTCCCAGAACCAAAACAGGAGCTGAAAGGAATTAGTTCAGGAAGCTCTTAAAAAATTACAAAGTAAATAGTTGCAATATGGGGGAGGGAGGATGGAGGTTCTGCTGGTTTTAATTCGTTTATCAATAGGAAACAAATCGGAAACTAATGTAGAGATAAGATAGGAGGTGCCAAACCGTTTTGGATAAAAACAGCAGCATCCTCATCATTCCTGCTGTGTTTAAACTTTGCTATAGATTGTTTTCCCATGTACTGTCATTACTTTGCCAAAAACCTAAGTGGGCCTTTTCAAGAACTCTTATTTGATTCAGTTATATAGTACAGTTGCAGGGGATGGGAAATACAGAAAGCAAGATAAAGCCTGCCCCTTTCCCTGTTGCCCTTTGTACTCTGCACAAATGTTTTTTTAAAGTCCAATCTTATGCTGTGTGTATTTGTCTAAAACCTGAATCTGTCTTCAGAACACTCAGAAGTTAGCCAATTGGTTGACCAATCTCCTTTTTACACATAAATCTCATCAAAGTGTTGTTTACACTAACATCTTTTTTGAAATGCAAATCTAAAACGCCAGCAGGCTGAAACTCAATTCTGATTAGTGTAATTACCTGCAATACACAAATGAGGCTGTACTGTTGAATAGCCTTCACAAACCTTTTTAAAAGATCAAAAAGCCTCTTCCTATTTTTGAAGTTTAGTACTACAGCAGTTAAAAGGTGTCCCTATTTGATTTTAGGTTATGCAGATAACTTTTTGGATAAGCATGTATTCCCTATTTTAAAATCATCAGAAATAATCATGCTTAATTTTGAAACAAAATAATACCTTGATATGGCAAAATAGATCTACATTTCACAAAGGGAACAGTTTTACTATTTACTCGTTCCTTTTAGTATGTCTGGAAGGTTGAATATAATTTTATCTACTTTGTTTTAGGCTTTAAACAAATCAATGCTCAAACCAGTACACAACCACTCTCTCAACCCAAAAGATCAAAAAAACGCCATGCAAATTTAACACTGGATAAAATGATGGAAAAATTCCTTCAACAAAGTGTGGATACAGAAGAGAAATTTTACAAATATGAAGAGCAGCGGCTTAAAATTGAGGACAAGCGCCGTGAAGCTGAGCATGCTCGAGAACTCCAGATGTTACAAATGTTGGGACAGATGTTGGCAGGAATTTCTTCTACAGTATCACAAAGGTCACAGTCTATGCCAACTAGTCCTCCTCAGAGAGCAAATCACCGATCATATGGCGATAACTTTAATTATAATGCTATGACAGCAGCACTTTCTCCACCAATAGGTACTTCATTCTATAGCATAAATAAGATCTATTATATTTAAAAGATTTGTGCGATGGCTGGTGTTAGTATCTGAAAATAAATGTCTAGCTTTGACTTATTTTCAATATTGTGATGAGTTTTTTGTCTGTAAATTGAATTAAAATGTCTTGCCATGCTATTGTACTGATATTTTAAAAAAAAAAAGCTCTAACAAATTCTAAATATTGACCGAACATTTTGGAAAAGTAGTCCATAAGAACTGGTCAGTTCATGTCACATTCAGATCTGTATAGAATGCAATTATATAGAATATGCAGTTGTATATAATATGTTAGGAGCTTAACCTTTACTGAAAATGATCTGGAAGCAAGAATGTGTCTTGCAGCAGAATAAAACAATAGTCTACATAAAATTGAAAAAAGAAATATAGATCTTAACATTTTTCAGTAATAATCTTGCTGTCAAAGCTTTCATCATCCTTGAAAATGTTAATTCAAAGTAATGAAAGACCTCGAAAAATAACATGTATTGGGGGTTTTTAACAGTGGGTATGTCAGACATGTTTTGAACATTATGGCTGGAATCCTGACCCTGCTGAAGTCAAAGGAAGTTTTGCCATTCACTTCAGTAGGGCCTGGATTTCACTCTAGATCAGCGGTTCTCAAACTGGGTTGCAACCCTGTTTTAGTGGGGTCACCAGGGCTGGCTTAGACTTGCTGAGACCCAGGGCCGAAGCTGAAGCCTGAGCTCCACCACCTGGGGCCGAAGCCTGAGGGCTCCTGCCCTGGGTGGCAGAGCTTAAGTTATAGGCCCCCTGCCTGGGGCTGAAGCCCTTGGGCTTCAGTTTTGGCCCCCCTACATGGGGCAGTGGGGCTTGGGCTTTGGCCCCCCATCCTGGGTTCATGTAATAATTTTTGTTGTCAGAATTGGGTCGTGGTGCAATGAAGTTTGAGAATCCCTGCTCTAGATATTGAATTATGTGACGGTATAGTTTATCTACAGGCCAAGGGTCAGATCCTCAAATTATGTAAATTATCATCGCTCAGCTGAATGCTATGGAGCTATGACAGTTTATGCCTGCTTGAGGATCTATCCTTCAAATACTTACAGTTCTTTACAAAAATATCTTGAATCTTATTTTCCTCCTGAACCAATTCATTTATGAATTTATCAGGGTCTGGATTTTTCAGAATATCCTTAGAATTGGCATCTATGCAAAGTTGTTTTGTTGTTGTTTTTTCCCCCCCTTTACAGAAGGTGTGTGGACTAGAGTCTAATCAAGTATGCAATACATAGTAACACAGACTTTTTTCAAGATTTGTGTCATTTATATTGATGATCTCTCTGTATGTTCACATAGAAAGAATGGACCGTAACAGTAATCGCATACCAATTGTTTTGTCAACTTTGACAGCAAAGCCTATATGGCTTATGATGTTTATAGCCCATCAGGTTGGAATTAACAGTTTTATTTTACTTTTTGTTTTTAAAATCATATGTGGGTTCAGTATTCAATGGATGGGTAGTCTTAAAAAAATAATAGAGATAAGCAGAATTAGAAATAAAACTCTGTAAGCCTGTCCCGAACCAGAAACTGGCTATCAGAACTTATAGTTTGGACATTTAAATAACCAAATAAATGTAAGGCCCAGTCCTATGTTTCTCTGACCTCCAAACTTCTCTTTAAATTTAGTGGAGTCTTGAATGAATGTTCGGGCCTGTTATGGTTTAAGTTAACATACTTTCTTATTCTATTGAATAAGATATCTGGTCTGTAGTATTACTTTTTGTTGTCATAATAGTTTATCCAAGTGTTTGAGTAATATTTAAATTAGAACCTGTATGTATACTACAGTTTTTCTTACAAATAGTGGTTTCACTTTTCAGTCTAACTTAGAAAACAGATACAGAAAACTACTTAAGCTCCTAAATCTTGAACACAGTACACAGGGCCATCCTTACCGATACGCAAAGTACGCAGCTGCGTAGGACACCAGGAAATTTGGGGCACCAAATTTCCTGGTGCCCTGCGCAGCTGCTGCTGCTTCAGCCCCTGCTCCGGCTCTTCCCCAGGGCCCCTTCCCCTGCTCTGCCCCGCCTCTTCCCCGCCCCAGCCCCGCCCCCACTCTCCTGAGGGTTCTAGAAGCGGTTGGGCCTGCACTCACCGGTAAGTAGAGCGACCCGGCCCCAGCCTGCTCTGCTCCCCTGGCTCCCTGCTGCGTTGCCGGCAAGTGCTGGGGGGCAGTTCCCCCTCCTCCTCCCAAGCCTGGGAGCCAGGGGAGCAGAGCAGGCTGGGGATGGGGGCTGGCCACTTCCTGGGGCCACTCCCCATGGAGGCCTGGGGTGGGGCCCCACACAGCCCCCCCGTGGGCGGGGGGTGCAGCTGCGTAGGGCACCAAAATAGCTAGGGATGGCCCTGACAGTACATGTTTAGCCTTAATATTTATTACTTCTAAAATGCATTCACTTTTAATCTGAAAGACATTCGATTAACTGTGAAAACCTGAAGCCAGGTTTTCATACTACATTTGATGATGCAGATGTATAGTTGTAAATTTATACTGTAGCAAGAGAAACTCAGAATTGACTTCCAATCATGAGTTTTGTTTTTTTTACAGTTTATAATAAAATATGCTTTAAAAGTAATTATTTAAGGCAACATATATGTTAATGATTTAGGACCTTACTTATTTGTATCTAAAGTTAAAGTGAAATCTTTAGGCAGAAGTGAAATCCAGTCTAGAGTTCCTTTTTTTTTTTTTTCATGTTTTCTACTGTTTTCCCCTCATTATAGAGTCTCTGTTCTAGAAAAGCAAGGAAACTGAAGGTTTTTTAGCAGCCATGGCCCTGTAAGTAGGTTGTGAGGTGTAAGGGATGCATATTTCTTGTAGATTTTGGTAGAAAACTAGATAGTTTGTAAAATGTGGAGTAATTTTAAGAGGGAAATATTGCCCTATTTCCAGAGCAGAGATGAGTTTTGTTATATTCTGCATTGTGACAATGATATTTTGGCCATGCTCCAAGAAGGTTAGTTTTTGATCCCAATGGGAGTGGAATGCCTGTATTATAGAAGGATTTTCAAAACAAGAGATCAGCCAGGAATATTTATCATTATTGAACACTATAAAGTGATTTTTGCTACAGTTTAGCTAGGCTGGTTTAATGTTAGATTCTGTAAATGTTGGAGAAAAGGGTTTTCTGCTGACATTGCTGGTATTTTCTTATTTGTTAACTCTGAAAATATTCTGGTGTGTCCTAACTTTCTTCAAACATCTTTTTTTCTACTTGTGGTGTTGGTATGGCAAGGACAATTACTGAGTACAAGACTGAATAGTTTTATTAAAAGTAAAATTGGAGAGTTTGGGTTTTTTAATCATTCTGTATGACTGTGTAACACCTCTGTTATAGAAATTGAGTACACCAATACTTCTGAATGTTTCAAAATTCACTGAGGTTTCTATCAATTTAAAAAGAAACATTTCTGAAGTAATTTTTTTAATGTCTTTATCTTTTTCAGTTATCGAGAGAGCCTTTTCAGTACACAAAACACATTCTATAAAGGATATGGAGAATATTTTTCAATTGGTGCGCAATGTTATTCCTCCTCTAACAGCAAAGAAGCATAAAGGTCAAGATGGACGGATAGGCATCGTGGGAGGATGTCAAGAGTAAGTTAAACAGAAATATATATGCTGTTGTTGATTAGGGATCTCAAGTACATGTTTTACTACTTTTAAAAAGCATTTAAATTGAAAATACTGTTTTTAAGGGATTGTGAACCCCATGTTTTCAAAGGGGCCTTTGCTTAGTCCATCATTAGAATCAGAATACATGTCCCCCTATGTCAGTGATGCAAGACTTAAGGGTTGGCTATTTCCTGGCGGGAAAACTAGTTTAGGACAGGGCTGGTAAATACCAGTTTAAACTGGGAAACTGGAAGAATAAAATTATTAGAACATACTAATGAAAATTACTGGCAAATATCGAGCAATTTGATGATGATTTTGCAGTAACATGGTCCCTTTTAATTTCAGTTAAAATAAAACAAAAAAGACCCTCCACCTAAACTGTATGCTAGTGCCTAAGCTACCTCAAACAGAAACTGAAACTTCTGAATCTGGGAATACCCCTTCTTTCCTGTAGCAATGAAAATTACATGTTTGTTAAGCAAACAGAGAAGGGGAATTCCCAGATTCAGAAGTTTCAGTTTCTGTTTGAGGTAAATTGCCAAACTAACTGTTTAGTCCAGTACTCTGTCTCTTGATTTGGCTAGCTGGAGTACAATTGCTGCAACTGAATTCCCGTGTACGGTGACTCAAGTCAAAGTATTTCAGCATGAGCAAAGGTGGAAGACCACTTGACCCAGTTCATGGCTATTTTGAGAAAGTTCATGGTGGCATCAAAGAGAGTCTTAAAGGCAGAAATTGCAAAGAAAAAGAGAATGGGAAGGCAGACCATATGAGGAAACATTTTGCAAAATGCTGTGGAAAGAAGACAGACACCAGACCCCCTTTGGCTAAATGCATGGATCAACATTCACACTGCACTCCCCGTCAGTATCTGGCCCAACTCGGGGAAGCTAATGATCCAACCAGCGGACCAAATTTGGTGTTGAATCCTGGTCACGTGCCACCTGAGGCATGTTGCGCATACACTATGTAGTAGAATTGGAATCAAACCCTGAGGATGAGTACCGATAATACCTACATTGCCATTGCCAACTACATCAAAAAACAGCTAGATCCAGGTCGGCTAAAGAAAACAAGGAGTAAGTATCATGGGTTTTTGACCCACAAATGGATATTTTTATAACAAAAACAACTCCAAAACTGAAACAAAAGTTAGACTTGAAAATTGCAGAATATTTTATGGCTATAATATTCCTTTCTCTTTTATTCAACATCCAACTTTTCAAGCAATGATTAGATGCCTAAGGCCAAGCTGCAAAGCATCCAGTCGAAAGCAGGTAGCAGGTGAACTGTTAAACACAAATACTGATGGCTTGAGGATAATAGCACGCAATAAATTATATGGAAAAGCAGATGGTTGGAGTAATGTGTAGTGACTCAGTGATAGCTAACTGTATGCACACTGGGAAAATTGTGGTTTATGTATCAGTGGTTGTGAGCTAGGCACCTCTGTATTCACACCCTTCACACCACTGCAATGATTTTTGTACAGCTTATGCCTTGTGAGGTATAATTTGAAAACAAATAACATGCTGGCCAATAATATCATTGTACAATATATGTAACAAGGCTGTGTGTGAAACTATGGATACTCACTAATATTATGCTTTAAAGTCTGTGACTAAAAGGTGTTTAAACATGGCATGTCAGGGGGAGTTGATAAACAGGTTTTCCTCAGACAAGAAAAGAGGCCAACACCTCAGAACAGGTGTGACCAAATTCAGTGAGCTATTCATTTGTGTGGGAAGTTGCCGCAGGAAGAGATAATGTCCATAGTAGCAACAACCAGTGGGGGAGGAACCAGCTTGGAGCCTTATCCTCCAAACCTCATGGCTCCTTTATTCAGCATGAACTAATGAACTTTACCCGAGGGTACCCTTCAGAAGAATATGTTTCAAAGGTTCACTGAACTATAAAGAGAGTGGGAGTGAGCCCCTAAGGGATTCTTTGCCTTAAGGAGACAAAGAAACAAAGCAATTTGATCTCTGTGATGTCCTGACCAGGCCATTTAGTTAAAAGGTGGAAAGAAGACTGGATCAGAGGAAAATCATTTTTAACAAAGACTATCTTACTAGATTTAAGTTTTACATTTTTAGATGCATATTTTCACTTTTGTTATCATTTCTGACTTCATCTCTTGAATGCACTTAAAATCTCTGTATTTTTGATTAAATAAACTTGTTTTACTTTTATTCCAAATCAGCCTACTGCTACGTTTGACTTAAATTCATTATTAATTCCAGTTAAAGCAACAGGCTACTGTGCTCTTATGTCTTTAAAGGAGCAACAGACAGTATTACTTCTCTGAATGTTCCAGGACAGGGCTGGACATTTTCAGGGTAGATAGTTTTGGGGAAATTTGGGATTGGGGGTGTATTGGGGTCACTTGGCTAATAAAAACAAAGGCTGGTGGAGACCAGAGTTTGACTGTAGTGTAGCAAGCAGGCTGCTGGAATCAGAGCTGCTTAACATAGTCATTCAGTGCATGCTTGACGCTGGATGGGAGCGGACAGACAGGGAGCTACAGCAGCAGAGCATTTTAAGGCATTCAGACTTACAGGGCAAGTAGTGACACAACCTCTCACTAGTCTGGGTTAAATCTCAAAATGTGACAGAGGTTGAGACTGGAAGCAATAAGACTGGAAAGTACTGTGCTACCCTGGCAAGAGAAGCCAAGACATTAGTAAATGAATTGTATGTTTTTGTGGTGTTAAGAGCTACCTGACAGACAGTGGGGGAAAAAGATGTAAAGAATGAGAAGTGATTTGGAAAAAATGACACTTTAGTTACTTATGGACTTGCTTTACATTGGCTAAATCTACTTGGACAAGACCTTGCACCAAGTGCTTTGATAAAACATGTAGTAGATTTACAAAAATATTTGTGAATACTGGAGCCTGTTCAAAAAAATGCCAAGGATCTGTAGAATCCCACATCCCTGGTGAGACACAATGGAACAGTCAAATAACATGTCTGGAAACATAAATTAAAAATTGGCGCTGTTATCTCAAGATTGTGAGTGATCATGAGGCAGAGTTTGAAGATAGAGTGGTCAGTATAACTAATTATCAAGGGATTTACCAAGAAGCATAAGAACTTGATCAGTCAATGGAAACCAGTTGCTGTGGCATTTGACATATTCCAAAGGGGTGCATTAACATTTGCAGTGGTATGCAAAGTATGGTTGGATCTACTGAAGATTTTGCAGCGCGCAAAGCAACAGCACAAAAGAGATTTCATGAAGCAATTACTCCTGTATGCATGTTGGCCAACCTGGTTTGGTCTTCATCTAAAATAAGCAGGAAAGAAATTGTCAACTGAACAAGAAGAAATTGCCAGTTCGTGGTTGCTCAGTAAAAATCCTTACTTTCTGCCATATTCACTTGCATTTAAAGTAGAAACTCCATATCCAAAATCAGTATTTTCATCTGCTATGAAGGAAAAAGTTTCCTCTGTAGCATGGTGGAAAAACCTGAAGAGTAATGATATTGCATCTGACTTCATAGAACTGGTAGTGCAATTGCATCAGTGTTCAGCAAGCATAGAACAAATCTTTTCAAACTTCGGATACATCGGTTCAAAATTGAGGCTCAGTTTGTACACTTCATCGAAGTTGGGCTTGTGCTACAGAATGCTGTACGGCCAGATGGACCTGGAGTGGTAGTCTACAACTCTGCGTGCTTCTGATTGCTTAATGCTTCAAGCCTACAGCTCTGCATTATTGTCACTTTCACAGAATCAACTGTTTTTGATTTTTGTTTATATAATATGGAAAAATGGAACAGGTCCTGGCTGACATGTATAACTTCCTTGAGAAATTACCAAACAAAATGTGTAGACATTCCCATGTTCAATGCTATGATTACATATATTAGAATTACACCCACTTCAGTTTTACTTTTTTTGCCAAACTTAAGCTAATAGATTCAGAAATTTAATTTATGTAACCACAATTTGAATGTAGCTAAAACTGAGTGTAAGGTGGTATGCATTAATGAAATAGTTTCTATCATAGTCACCGTTTAAGGCACTTTCTAACTAGCTTTTCCTGTGGTAGTAAAAACCATCTCTGGTAAATGTTATGCCATCCCTGTTTTGGCTATACATGCAGTTGAAGTTTGGTCATTTGAGTTCCATTCCCCTCTACCTTCTCTCTTCTTTCCACCCTAATCTCTTACTTTAAATTACCTTCTACATTGTGTGAAAGGAGCTTATGGGAGAAGCGTTGAGAATAAAGTAACAAGGTGAAACATCTGCTGTAGACTGATCATAGTTGTGATGTCCTTATACAATTCCTGACTTACACCAGCCTTATGAACTACATCTTGGCTACCTGGTCATGGTCCTTGGTTTGGATTCAAGCTGCCTTTTGCTGCTGATCTGGTAACCTGACCCTTTCTGACACCTGACACTCAGTTTTGCTCTCTGGCCTGTCTTGAACTCTGACCTGCTCTGATCCCTAGGCAAGACTGCTGATTGTCCCAGTCGTGACACCCATTGTGATACTTTGGGTGAGTCATTTCACCTTACTGTGCCTCAGTTTAGAGATGGCCAAATAGGAGATATTACCTCTTGTGAAGTGCTTGGAAATCTGCAGATTAAAAATACCACATAAAGAGCTAAATACACTATTTTGTTACAGTTAGGATTTCCCTATTGGATTACCCTTGTCTCTCTAATTCACTTTTTGATTGGTCTACTAGAGCCCAAATTTGACCTGCCAAGCCATGTTCCAAGGTACTATCTTTTATACTTGAGCTTTTTCTGAGTCTCTTTTCTGAATGGATTGAGTCTGTCTCTCTCGTGCTTATGTGAATACTTTGAGATGACTCTCTTATTTTAGCTTTTATTTGTGATGTAATCCATGTAAATATCACACAAGTGAGAGTGAATGAATAGGGTGAAATCTCCGCCTTATTGAAGTCACTTGGAGTTTTGCTATTGACTTCAGTGGGGCCAGGATTTCACCCATCCTTTATAAATAAGAACTACTTGAGTTTATTTCACTTGCTCTTGAATTCGATTCTTCATTGTAGCAGGGTGATCAACTGCTAACTTTATCTTTTGATACAATTGTGTGTCTGTTTCCTAACCTAGAAAATGTTTCACTTGTAGGTACACTGGGGCACCATATTTTGCTGCAATTTCAGCTCTAAAAGTGGTATGTGTTTTTCTGCCTTCATGTGTAATGTATTTTTAATAACATAAGTGGATTGTCTAGTGTCATATGTAAAAGGCTTGCATTGTACTGTGCATGGGATTTTAGTTCTACTAGAAATGTAACCTTTTTTATCTTTTTAATAATTTCTGAGTTCTAGAAGGTTCATATTCTTCTTAGTCATAGAAGTTATCAGATTTGTAGAAGTCATTCATTATTTTTTTTTCAGTAAACTAAGTTTATTATTATTTAATTTAGGCAAGACCAAAAATAATTTAACCTGGGCTCTTTTGTGTTTAAAGTTGGACAGAGATGACTACTCAGTATCCAACAAGATACTATGGCCATAATACAGCCATTTGATATGTGCAGGCAGTCTTACTGAACCTTACTGAATTCAGTGGGCCTATGCACAGGCATAACATTTCACCGTAACAGAACACACTTCAGGATCAGGACCTTAAATTGCTCAGGGCTTGGAAAATATTAAATGATGATAGTAATACACCAGAGGAGCCATTAGTTGGTTACTGTCTTCCGTTAGGTGTTTGTATCTTTTAATTTTGGTTTGGTATTTCTTTCTACATCCGAAGTATTGGAAACTTCTTGTCCCTGGCTACTTAACCTACGTGTATATTATTTTTGCTTTTTCTTATTAGAGGTAAAAGAAGCTTAGGGTCAAACTCAGAAATGCGTGCAATTCAACTGTAATAAATGAAATTGTGCCAGTTTATCTCTAGTCCAGATTTGGCTGGGACTGGAAAAGAACTCATGGGTAATCTTGTTTATCCTGCATGAATATAGCACAACACCGATTTTTGTTTGTGCTGTAACCCAGCTCCTACTTGGCTGTGTCCTTTTTGTCTTTCCTTACTGTGGGCCTAGGCCTATCATTCTTGCTCATGCATGAATGGAGAGGATTACTCCTGTGATAAAGGGTTTCAAGATCTGGCCCTAAACTTTCACTGATTTTGCCCTAATCCTGTTCAGTAAGCAAGTATTTCTGTAAGTTTGCAATTTAGCATGGAAGTTAGATTTAAGAAATAAAGTAATTTCTCTCCAAACTATTGACTGGCATGCTAGTCAAGATGGAACAAACAGATACCAAGTTTGCTTTATTTAACAAGCAGTAGGAATTCATAGTTGTTCAGTGAATAACTATTGGAATAATTGTTTAGGCACTACTAAGATTACAAATTGTAATTCTGCAAATTTTCTTTCTTAGGGTGCAGACTTATCCCACGTATTTTGTACCAAAGATGCCGCAGCTGTAATAAAGTCATATAGTCCAGAACTGATTGTTCATCCAGTGCTGTAAGTGACTTTTTTTTTCTTTAAATGATCAAGTCAAGACTACTAGATTGAACATTTCAGTGTGACAGTTCATTAATTTACATTATTTCTCTTCCTGAATCACAGGACCGGTGAATCAGAGGTTAAAAAAGTGATTATATATTACGTATTTTCATTTAAGAGCACGTGGAGTTTCTGACCTGTTAGAACCACTTTGTGTGTGTTTCTGTCAAAGCACAAATTAAAAAAGCAAAGATTATTCTTTCAGCTTGCTTGCTGATGTGTTTGTAATTGTAATGCATTAAATGAGAGCAGTCACAAAATCCAGAACTGAGTATGAAACAAGTCAGCATTTTAGAATCTCTTTTTAAAAGCCAAAATAAAACACTCTCATCCCAAATTTCTTCCTTCTTGGTTCTGAATCAGTTTTACTTTCTCACCACTGTGGACATAACACTATTCATGCTAAATTACTGCACGAGAAACTGATTTTAATTTTTTTATGATTTTTATGGTTCTTCTTAAATGTTTCACCTTGTAGATAACAAATCTAGCCATTACGGGGTTAACTAGATGCAATATAAAATATCAAGGGCTGCTTATATCAATTTGTAAGGGGTAGTTGGTTTGTTTGTTTCAGTTGTTGGCTGGAGTGTGTCGCTAACTGGATATCTTACAGGAGACATTGTTTGGGTTAGGTTTTGCAAATTGTTGGGCATGAGTGTACCAAATAAGAATCAAGCTCTAGAGCCCTGTAAGCAAGGCCTATGGTAAGCTTGCAGTACAAATTGCACTGCATTGGTGTAAATCATGTCTACACACACTAGAGCCTTATCTAAACTAGAAAAAACAGCGCTTTTAAAAACAAGAGTCAAAACATTTGATAAATGCTACCGTAGACAGGATGTAATACTTTAAAAAACATGTTAGCACCTTTTTTAAAGTGATCAACTCCGAAGGGAAGCCTGGGATTGACAGCTACCAGTTAGCACATTTTAAAGATGTTAAACCTTTTCTATGTGAAAATTTGCATTTAAAAATGTGTTTAAAACAAGTAAGCAATCAGGGTTTTTTGGGGGATGGGGGCTTGTTGGTGTTTTTGTTGTTGTTGTAAAAGCACACCTTTTTGTTTTCCTGGTGTAGACAAGGTAGAGTTGTTTGCATTGCCCTGGTGCAACCACATTAATGTCTATAATCCAGTGACTAGATCCTCAGCTGGTGTAAATTGCCACAGCTCCATTGAAGTCAGTGGCGCTATGACAGTTGGGCTAACCAATGTGATTTTATATGGGAGGAGTTAATACACAGTACTGTTGACTAGTTTGGTGGTAATGGAAAAGTATCATAGGAAAAAAATGAGACAATATGGTCAGAAAGGAGAGAACCATGAGCAAACAAGAGATTGCTGGATCTCATCTCTCTAAATCTCTATTTGTGGAATTTCTACGGATTCTTTTTTTCCACACAGATTTTAGTTCAGCGTCTTCTATAGAATAAAATTGTCAGTTTAAAAAAAGAAAAATTTTGCCCCTCTGGTTGCAAAGAGAACCTTTTGACGCTAATCTGATGCGCTATCCTATTCATTCTGTAAAATAGACAAACGCTGTATGGGGGGGGTGTGTGTGTGTGTGTGTGCGTGCGCGCCCTGGCCCTGGCCCTGGCACTGGCCCCAGTCATCCAAATAGAACATTAGGTCTGAAGCCTGATCACTGTTTAAGTGTCAGTATTGTTAATTTTTACACTTCACACTGACTTAGCAGAAACAGTCAGCTAATATACTTATTCAGTATGGTTGGATGTTGCTGGGAACATTATTTAAAATTGAATAAAATTTAAGATTTAAAAATGCAAACAACAATGTTCAGGTTTGGTTTTCTAAAAATGTTTTACCTCCCCATAAGACTTCTTGCCCATTCTCCTGCCTCCAAATGTGAGATAATGGTTAAGGCTACATTTTAGTCACAGGTATTTTAATAAAAGTCATAGACAATAAACAAGTCACAGCCCTGTGACCTGTCCATGACTTTTACTAAAAATACCTGTGACTAAATCTTACCTGCTAGGAGGGGAACGCGCCTGAGGATTGCTGCTCCTGGGCAGCGCCAGGGACCAGCTGCCTGGGGCTGCCAGAGTAGCGTCTGGCTCCGGGGCTTCCCCAGCTGCTGGGATGGCCCTGGGGTCAGCCGCACCTGCTGCCGCAAAATTCACAGAGCCTGCACCCTTGAGCCCCTCCCATGCTCCATCCCCATGCCCCAGCCCTGATCCCCCTCCTGTGACCTCCGTGAATGATTTGCAGCCTTAATAATGGTCTTTCCTCATAAACGCGGGCACTGTACATTTTTGCGGGTTCCCAAATTCTTGATTGAATGTTTTAAATCCAGTCTTGTCTGCATCAAACAGACTGCCCACGTTCACTTTTAAAGCCATTCAAGACTTAGTTGCATCTTTTACATATCTCTTATGTGGTGTTGAGCAGTCAGCCCCTGCTTCTGCTCTTCCAGCAACGGCAAAGCCCGTCAGTCCGTTTTTCTCTCAACTATGCAAGGGATGTTTATCTCCCATGCTGCCCTTTATGAACGGGAGGAGCTCCCTGTAAAAGTTTGCAGAGCTATTGCATTGTCCTCCTTTGTACCCCTCTTTAAAGGTCACCTTTGCTGTGATATCTGCACAATGCATGACAGTGGCTAGGCAGCTGATGTTCTGTGATCCTGCTTGTTATGCCAGTCATTATCAGGGCCTTGTGTATTTTGTGATTCTGTGTCACTGATTTTTATTTTGCAGAATTTGACATTTTGCCAAACTGCTGAACAATGCCCCATTTTACTGCAGTCAGGAGTCTGTCATCTTGTTCTCTCTGCTCTGCTGTGACCTGACTGCAGCTTCCTCTTTTAGTACTGCTTTCACCGCAAGAGGGAGTGCATTACAATAAGTAGCACATTTTCCTGCCCTGCTCTCCATAAAAGTGGGAGCTGGAACGTGAGACACAAGCTCTCTGGGCTCATCAGGATGGCCTTTGCCTGTCTTTTGAGGGTGTGGGTCAGAGGAGGAATGTGACAGCCAGAGGCTGAGCTGATGAGCCTTGAGAGCCAGCCAGGCAGACACTCATGCCCAGGATACAAAATGTGATGGGGTGGGGGCCTGAACAAAGTTTAGAGGGGGAGGGTTGCAAGGGCCAACCTGTTGAGCTGCAGGCATCCATCCCTTGTGAGCTGCAAAGGATGCAGGGCTCAATTAGGGTAATTTGCAGTCCTAGGTGTACCACAACACCTGCTTTCATACCATTGCCCCACCTGCCACTTGGACAGATGGTGGTGCCTGCTCCCCTCCCAGTGAGGCAAGGGTAGCAGCATGAGGCCTGGGAAGGATAGAGCTTTACCTAGCTGCCACATACTCCTTTTCCCCCACTACATCCCAGGAGTTGGGTAATAGTAGCTGTCTCTATAGGAAGCCTAAACATTCAGCCTTATCAGGAGTAATTTTCTCCTTTATTCAGGGATTCCATAAAATATACTGCTGCACCTTCTGAGAGGATTTGGCAAGGTAATGCAAAAAAATCAACAAGGTAACCTAATTAACATGGCTATTGAATTGAATAGCACATGCTGCAAAACTTGAGCCCATAGTGCAGCGAAGTACACAGGGCCCTGATCACAATCTCCCTCTTCAGCCCCCTATCTCTCATCATATTCATGTTTTATGTCATCACATACTTACACTGTAAATTCTTGGGGTGGCCACTGTGTTGTCATTATAGGCGTGTACAGTGTCTAGCACAGGGGTGGGCAAACTACAGCACGCAGGCCACATCTGGCCTGCCAGCTGATTTAATCTGGTCCTCGAGCTCCCGCTGGGGAGCGGGATCTGGGGCTTGCTCTGCTCCCGTGCTCTAGCCAGGGAGCAGGATCGGGGGCTGCTCCATGCGTGCATGCCACAGCTCCGTGCGGCTTCTGGAAAGCAGCGACATGTCCCCCTCTTCCCCCCTCCTCCCCCCAGCCTGGCTCCTATGCGTAGAGGAGCTGCTTGAGGTAAGTGCCGCCTGGAGCCTGCACCCCTGAGCCCCTCCCAACCCCCTGCCCCAGTCCTGATTCCCCTTCCCGCCCTCCGAACCTCTCGGTCCCAGTCCGGAGCACCCTCCTGCACCCCTCAACCTCAGCTCCACCCCAGAGCCCGCACCTTCAGCTGGAGCCCTCGGCCTCCCTCTTTCCCCCCCCCCGGAAACCAAATCCTGCCCCAGCCCGGAGCCCCCTCCTGCACCGTGAACTCCTCATTTCTGCCCCTCCCCAAGAGCCCGCACTCCTAGCCAGGGCCCTCACTCCCTCTGTACCCCAACCCCAATTTCGTGAGCATTCATGGTCCGCCATACAATTTCCATACCCAGATGTGGCCCTTGGACCGAAAAGTTTGCCCACCTCTGGTCTAGCATGTTGAGGTCTTTACTGTAGCCTCTAAGTCCTATTGCAGTACAGATGATAAATGTCCCAGTTCCAGCTTGCTGACATGGCCAGCCAACAGGGGTGCGCGCGGGGGGCAGCACAGGTTCCTCCCCAATCAGCAGGAGCACGAAACTCCTCTGGTGCCAGAGAGGGGAGAGTGAGCTCCTCTGGCCCTGGGGCCACAGGAGGAGGGGGAGATGACCGCTCCTCCAGCCCCAGGGCTGTGGGAGGGAGAGGCAGCTCCTCTGGCACTGGGGGATGGGGAGGGGAAAGGTAGCTCCGCGACTGCTGGGGGGTGGGAGGGGAGAAGCAGCTCCGCTTGGCTGCTTGGGTGGGTGGGGTGGGGAGGGGAGGCAGGTCCTCCAGCTGCAGGGGTTACACAAAGTGCCCTTCTAAAAGCAGCCAAATGTTTATTTCTGTTCATGCCCCGCCAGCCAACCTCCTTCTCTTCCCAGCCTTACAAGTAGCTGAGTTCCTAGCAGCTTTTGGGCCACAGTGATATACAGGCCCGCTCAACCAAATTTATGTGCTGTGAATGCTCGAAAACCGTGGTATGTGGTGTGTGCACTTTGGGATTTGGAACTTCCT